GTCCTCAGACGACTACAAAGTCATTAGCGTCCGCAAGGTTATGAGGTCAGTGTACCAGACTCACATCTACAGCCTCAGATCCAACTCGTGGAAGAGGATCGAGGACTGCCCTTCCTTCCTATTGGTGTCGAGTGAAGCCACATTGGTAAACGGGGCCCTGTACTGGTTTGCACAGGACTCAGTAGTTGCGCTGGATCTTGCCACCGAGAGGTTCCGCAAGCTGCCCTTGCCATATCCTGGTATGTCGTATATCTTGGGTTTCGCGGTGTTGGGAGGGTGTTTGGTTGTGGTTAGTGATAAAGATATGCAGGGAGCCTGGGTTTTGAAGGATTATGAATGGGTGGGCCTGTCCACACCCATGGGACTGAGCCTCATCAAGGACGAAAAGCGGCTTGTGCTTCCTTGTGGCCGCTTGATTATACACTGGGATATACAGACTCATTCTCAGAAGCTGATGAGAATCGAGAAGCTGGTGAAAATAGGTGACCCTTTGTATACTCACATTGTTGAGGAAAGCATTTTCCGATTTGGCCGTCCGAGTATGGCGGCGGCAGGGGTGAAGAGGAAGAGGAGCGAGGCTGATGAGAGGTAATAAGTGTTTTTTACTTTCTTCTTTGATTTCGATTTGTACTCCTTTCTTGTTCTCCTGTTAATTGTTATTGTTTAGACTAGTTGATTAAAATCTGTTTGTGTTTTATCTTTTCATTTTGCCAGGAGTGCTGCATGTGTTGAAAAGATTCAAGTCCTCTTCTGTGAAAGAGAGAGCTGTGCTTGGTGACCACAAATGTTAGTTATTACATTTTTACTATGATGATTTTGAGATTTGAGGCTTTTACAATTCCAAGTTCGGGACTTCAGCTGGGGTGACATGTTATGAACTATATATACTTTATTTATATCTCCCAAGTGAAAACACTTGTTTTTTTATTGTTGTTGTGTTTTGAATTCTCAAATAATGCATAGTAACATTTATGAAACTCAACTATTAGAAATTGGGATAACTCCATCCCATGTATTTGGTGGGATTCAACTAATCCTGCACATTAAAAATTCTGATATGCCCTCACTTTTTTTATTTTCGGTCAATTTTGTGCTTCGTAAAGCCACTAATTACACTTACCATTATTAAAAAGTAAACTGGCCAAATTTCCAATCTGAAGTCGTGTACATGCAAGAACCCTAGGCCCAAAGCACAGTTTCTCCCCTCTTCTTCACACTAGGTGTAAATTCGGCCCGACGTAACTGAAGAAGACGAACAATGTTCTTCGAACTGAGGAATTGGCAAGCAGGTCCGATTGCCACAACGATAAATGTGTATTTCCATTTTGAGGCCAATGAAATACCTGGTCTCGGATAAGCACCCACCACTCGAGCTCTAATGTAATACTCGATTTTCCGGTTCTTTGTTCAGAGCGGCCCCGTGAGGATTTCTGTTGTGTTTTTAATTTTTGTGCGATGCCCGACTTTTTTTTTTTTAATTCTTACTTTCATCTCTTAAAATTGACTTCTCCCCAGAGTACTGGATTGAGCGTGTTAGTGAAAGTTCTCATCGGCGCCTCTGAACCGCATGTTAATTGAGGAAGACGACCACAAGAGGTGACTAGGGTTTGTGCGTGAGGAAAATCAGAAATGTGTGTGAAATGTGCGTGTCTGAAATGGGGGGTACGAATCTGATTAAAGGGGCAAAATTGTATTTTTCAAATATTGAGATGAGTTTGTGTTGATGAATTATTTTTTTAAAAAAAACAAATAAGTTATCCTGCACCAATCCTACGTAACAAACATAAGATAAAAATAATCCAAACAGTACAATCCCACAACTTTGAATTAATTTTGTCCAATCCCATCCCAGAAAACAAACATGGGCATATAGGACATTAAAATCATGAGAACAGTACAATAATAATACACGTGCAAAGAAAACTTAAACGATAACAGTACAGTAAAATGCTCAGGCATAGATAGGGATAATATTAGGATCCCTATTTATTGAAACACAAAAGTGTGCAAAATAAAAAACGGGATAATCAAATAAGCATTTGAATATTCATATTCCCACAATATATAAACTTAATGAAAGACGCAATTGTTATTAATCATGAGACGAAGCAATGGAGTGAACTTTAGTAATGTGCATGTTGCGGAGGTGGTGGGGGCTTTTAGATATACGGGGGAGGTGGGGATGGTGATGGTGGTGGAGGAGACTTATAAACATACAGAGGTGGCGGTGATGGTGAAGGAGGAGGTGAGGATGGTGATGGTGGTGGAGGATACTTATAAACATAAGGAGGTGGCGGTGATGGTGAAGGAGGAGGCGGTGACTTATAAATATACGTAGGTGGAGGAGGAGATTTTGATGGAGGTGGTGGTGACTTGTAAATGTATGGAGGTGGTGGGGAAGGTGAAGGTGGTGGTGGTGATTTATAAACAGATGGAGGGAGAAAAGATTTTAATGGAGAATTGAAGATATATGGTGGTGGTGGGGATGGTGAAGGTGGTGGTGGGGATTTATAAATATAAGGTGGATGAGAAGATTTTGCTGGAGGCAGCGGGGACTTGTGGATATAAGGAGGTGGCGGTGATGGAGATGGTGGTGGAGGCGACTTGTAAACATATGGGGGTGGGGGAGAAGCTGATGGTGGAGGTGGCGATTTATAAATATTAGGTGGGGGAGGAGATTTTTCCGGAGGTGGCGGAGACTTGTAGACATTAGGAGGTGGCGGCGATGGAGATGGCGGTGGAGGGAACTTATTAACATATGGTGGTGGTAGAGATGGCAATGGTGGATGTGGCGACCTATAAATATAAGGTGGAGGAGGAGACTTTTCTGGAGGTGATGGAGACTTGTGGACATAAGGAGGTGGTGGCGATGTAGATGGTGGTGGAGGGGACTTGTTAACATATGGTGGTGGTGTAGATGGTGATGGTGGAGGTGGCGACTTATAGATATAAGGTGGAGGAGGAGATTTTTTTGGAGGTGGCGGAGCCTTGTGGACATAAGGAGGTGGCGACGATGGATATGGTGGTTGAGGGGACTTGTTAACATATGGTGGTGGTGGAGATGGCGATGGTGGAGGTGGCAACTTATAAATATAAGGTGGAGGAGGAGATTTTTCTGGAGGAGGCGGAGACTTGTAGATATACGGAGGTGGTGGTGAAGGCGACAGTGGAGGAGGAGATTTGTAAATATATGGAGGTGGCGGAGATGGCGAAGGCGGAGGTGGTGGAGGTGACTTGTAGATGTAAGGAGGAGGTGGGTACGGTGAAGGTGGTGGTGGTGATTTATAAATATAAGGAGGTGGTGGTGATCTGTAGACATACAAATTCGGTCGCGGTTCATCGGCGACTACGTTGGTGGCTATCAAACAAAACGCGAGTGATAAAGCAAAGTGGCGCAAGCCGCTCATCATCGCTAGTGTCCCCATTTTGTGAATGCTCCCAAGTTTTCTACTAAAGGGATTCAAGGTTTGTGTTTTGTGTGGTTTAGGAAATGTAAATAAGTTTATTTATATAGTGATGAGATGCAATCCATTATTGATTTGTTTAATGGAATGAAACAGTGTGGCCAAAGGTTATACATGTTTGTCAATGTCAACTATAAGGTTGGTATTGCTAGTCCACTAAATTATTTTTCTTGGCATTAAACAAGTCTAGGATAAGAGTTACGAATAGTACTATATTATATTAGTACTTAGTTCTTCTTTATTTTGTTGATCCTCTGTGAAAGGATCATCGTAAATTTGTACCCAAAAAAAAAAAAAAATCATCGTAAATAATTTTAAATTTTGTCCAACAACTCTCAAATGTCAATGTGATCGTCATTTCACGGATATAAAAATTCCTCATGCTAAGTTTCGAGTGAAGGGTTTGAAATTCTTTGATTTAAAATCCGAACATGCATAGGTATTTGAACTTATAAATTTGAAATCTATAATTTTTAGATTTCTCAACAAATTTGTAGTGCGCGCTCAACTACTTTGGAGTTTCAAATTTTTATCACATTATTTGGGTAAAATTTCAAATTTTTCTTCAATATTCCCAATGAATTTTTTCTTCGGATTTCTTAAAAATTCTTTGGGATTTTTAAAATAATAATGTATTTAATTTATAACTTTTTGTTTTTTGCAAAATTCTTAACAAATCACAAGTTATTTAACTTATTTGACACTGAAATTTGCTAAGACTGTTTTATGATCAGTAATTCTATGGAGCAATCGGATGGCTCTGTTATGGAGCCATCCATAATCTTATATACTGACACATGTTCAATGTGCGTTAATTGCAGGACACATGTCAATACATCATTTGTGAATAACAATGGATGGCTCCATAAGCCGAGCCATCCGATGGCTCCATAACAAAACAGGTTTTATGATTTGATGAGATGTCATTAACGAAAACCATATTCGACATATCATCCCATATTCCCACCTCCATAAGATTTACAAGGATTTTTGTTAAATTTGAAAAATCTAAAAAGTCTAAAATCTCAAAAAAATCTATATATATATAATTGCTAGCATATAGCATTTAATAAAACCTATTTAATAAAACCTCTAAAATTTTTCCTCCATTTTCGGTTACAAAATTTATCATTAATATTTTTTTTACTTCTCACATTAATACATCCTATTAAGTGTAATCATGTATTTTTTCTATTATATTATATAATAGTTATTGCTAATACCAACTAATAATAATTCACAATAAATATAAATTACCTAATTATAAGCAATTGTTTCAATTAGTTATTCATATTAACATAAATATTATCTTTTACTTTTGTATCTCCTGAAAAATTTTCTTTAAAAATAATTAGTAAATTGTTTTAATAACATAGTCAAAAATCTTTAGAATCTTATAAACAAGTGTTTCTTGGTAATAATAATAATAATAATCAAACTAATATTATGTAATGATAATAAACAATTGTTCATAATAATAAAATCGTTAATTTATTTTTTTTAATGATCAAATTTTTAAAAATGTAATATGTTCCTTATCTAGAATTTTAATATTAAATTCTCAAATATTAATTAGAATATTTTATGTAAATCTGTGCATGTGCACATGATATAATTCAAACTTGCAAACGATTGCACCATCTAGGTGATTAACATGCAAAATTTTAGGATACCATTATTAAAGTTGAGATGCGATCCTAAAAATTTCTAATTAATTATATGGTAATACACAATTTTATAACTTAGAAAAGGAAAAAATTAATGATTAATAAAAATGATTGAAATATGGCAAGAGAACCTTGTTGGGAGACTCACCTACCATTGCTAGGTGTGTGATCCGGATCGACCAACGAATTAGTCGGAACACAACTTTGAATGCCGTGACTAACTAACAAAAACAAGAATATGGCAAGAGAAAATAACTATAAATATTCAATTATAAAATTTAGAAATGTCAATAGTAAATGAAACTTAAATTACCTAATTAGAGCAAGTTTGATGCGTCGGTGGGACTATTCAATTGATTGCATTGACAAAGTTATTACAATACTCTTATCTGATTTGATATACAGCTAGTTTGAGAATATTGATTGAATTTAGCGTAGGTGTTACCAATCGTTTGTCAAATTATACGAAACTTCAGACTTGTTATTCTCAACGGTCACGAATCATTATATGGTGATTAAATAGATCCTCTATGTCAAGAGAGTAGGTCCAGTTATCTGGTTCTTGGTGTCAATTGACATCACCATTGTACCCTTTTTGAGTTTTCTACTAATATCACTACAAAATAAATGTTATATTCCAACGAAAA